ATCTCTCCGGATGCAAACATTTATTTGAAATACATATATACACGCGTAATGTAATAGCACTTTTTTCTTCATTCCCAATGCCATTTTAACTTAGGATATAATATGTATTGTCAATATATAAATACATTGCACATACATATGCTATTCCATCTCTTTTTATTACGTCTAATGGACTTTCTACAATAAATCATTATTCATAAATCAGAAGTAAGATGCTAAAAATTGACAACTGTGATTGGTGAATTTTTAGCTTCTGACTTCTGATTTATGACTAATGGCTTATTGTAGAAGGCCTATAATAATAAGAGATAAAAGTTACTCATTAGATATTCATGCTGATATGACATATTAGTGAATATTAGAATTATATTTTACGTGCATTATGATGTACACACATTACAAAACATAAAATATATTTCTAATTCATATTCACATATGTGTAGCTACTTCATCTCTTTTTGTTACGTGTAACAAAAAGGTGTACTGATATTCTGTTTTCTACATTTAATAAAAAGAGATATGTTTTTTTATGGTCAAATGTACAGATATTAGTGATATATGCTTTTATATTTTTAATATCAGAATATATTGGGTCATCTAAAAAGTATCCGCGGTTTTTTGTGACTAGATGGTGTTGACCATCAACACCATCTAGTGACAAAAAACCGCGGATACTTTTTTTTAATGAAAACAAGCGTTTTTTGGGCAAAGTTATATTTATTCCTCAACATAGTTGCCTTCGAAGGTGTTTGAGATCGGTAATTCGAAAGAAAAGCAAGAATTCTTTCAGTCGATCGACGTTAATTGTCATTGAACGCATGCACAAATTGAGCTCGTGATTTCATCTCAAACATGATTTTAATCCTCGTTAAAATCATCAAATTCGTCGTTCTTTGTTCTTTTTAAAAACAATTCGTTTTGCGCAACACGCAAACAAGTTGTCGTTACCGGCAACGGACAATCGAAAGTTCTAGAACGATTCAATTCGCGCACGCGAGCGCCGCGCTCCGACGAATACGTCACGCGCTGTCACCAATCCCACGCACGGATTTTCTGTCGCGCATGACTGTTACGTTGAACGTCGCTAGAAAAGAATCCAAAGCGCCAATCAATTTTGTACACCTAATGCCACGTAATAATTACGATTGTGGCAAATTTTTATTGGATTTTTCCCAAAAGGGAAAGCTCAGGCCGAAAGCAATAAATGCTTCGATCTCGCCGTCCTCCTTCTTACTTCCAAAAAGTTCTTAGAGTTCTTAGAGTCATAATCTCGCTTCGTAAAAATCGCCGTGCTAACCGTTTAGTGAAATCGCTATAAACCGAAACTTTCGAGAAGCTTCGAGGAAAATCGCCGAGATTTTCCATCACCGCGATTCCAAGCTCAATTTTGAAAAGGTGACCGCATTTAATATTCTGTTAATCTGATCTTTAATTAATTATATCTTTTGACTTTGTAACTGAATACATTAAAGAAATTCTTTTGTTAAATTAAATGAAAACGGAGTTGTCTTCACTGTCGTGCATCATATCAACCTTGTGCCGTTTTCTCACTCGAACCTCTTTCCGCGCGGTGCGCTCTCGCACAATATTCATAATGACACGCGCTACATCAACCGGGACATAATGTCAACTGTATAACGACAGGTTGCAGTAATGACCATCAGTACATCCACTAGAAGTCTGTACATATATTTTTTCTATCTCTTTATCGACCAGTTTAAAACCGATCTATTTTAAATATACAGCGTATCCCACATAACTGTGATCACGATTTTTCCGGCACTTCCGAAGATCTGACAAAAATTAGTTTGGATAAAAGTTAATCAGTTTTCAATCAATTATAAATTGCAATATTAAAAATTTGCAAAATACTCTTTTTTAGAAAAAAAGTCAAGGTCTATAATGCTGTCACGGCGAATTTCTTCGTATGTTGTACGGATTCGCTGCTTTAAATGTTCCATATTTTGAATTGGTACCGCGTAGATTATTGATTGCAAATGATCCCATAGAAAAAAATCTAATAGTGACAAATCGGGGGACCGAGGTGGCCAAGGTATTGGTCCGTAAGTGCCCAATCAACGTTCTCCATATTTTGAATTTAGATATTGAACAACAATCCAAGCGTTATGAGATGGACGATCATCTTGTTGGAAATAAATACGTTGTATATCATCATTCGGAAGCAGTTGCAACAATGTTGGAAATTGAGGACATTATTTGAGAATTTACATTCATCTGTACTATGTATCATCTGTACTATTACATTTATCCAGGATATTTTATAATATTTCAAGATTATTTTCGTATGTGACAACTAGCCATAAATAACTGCTATAAAATTTAGACGACGTTGTGAATCAGTTATACGTAAATGTTGTACTTTAGTCATTTGTAAGGATGATAACGATTCTGTTTTACCATCTTATGAACAGAACTTTTAGATAAATCAGTTTCAGTAGCAACACGAATGGAAATGTGCGGATTTTCTTCTAAATGTGCTGAGACCATAAAAGTATTATTTGCAGTTATACTTAAATGCAGTTTGTTCCTTTTCTTCTTTTCAAATTCTCCATAATTTCTTAAATTCTTTTCAATGTTACAAAACATTGTTGCATACAAGTGATGTCTCTGTGGATACTTTGTGGTATACAGAATTCCAGCTTCACGTGCATTCCTTTTACATTCATCGAATATTAACATCAACTTTCTCATTATAGGAATACATTTTCGACAAACTGAACTATGATGTGTTCTAACAAACTAAGACTGAACGTTGAAGCGTTTGAGCTACGATATACTACAAATTAAGTTGATATTTTTTTCTACTTACATACTACATACACGTGTGAACTACATTCGGCAATATCACGAATTCCGAAATGGCTAAGTTTGTTCTTCACGTCTGACTGTAAAGTCATCTCAAAGTCATAGTATAGCAAGTCATTGAACTCGTCTTGACATCAGTTACAATATTATGAAGTAAAAAATATGTAGTGCCATTTAAAAAAATTAGAATGATTCTTTTTTCCTAAAAAAGAGTATTTTGCAAATTTTTAATATTGCAATTTGTAGTTGATTGAAAACTGATTAACTTTTATCCAATCCTAATTTTTGTCAGATCTTCGGAGGTGCTAGAAAAATCGTGATCACAGTTACGTTGGACACCCTATATATATATATATATACTTGTCACTTTGTAATTATAATGTTGAGAATGACTTAATCGAGCGAAAACGTTTATTATTTTTAATTTGTCTTAGTTTCTTTATAATTACATGCAAACTTTGAATAGCCTTTTCATCATATTTCGATAACTTTTACTTAATTTTATTCTTTTTTTCAATCTGGAATTATTATTTATTAACATAGACCTGGGGTATATGATACTTGTTTTCCCATTAGATTTCTTGCAACCTTTGGAAGGTTAAGCAGTCACCCATCTCACGTTAATAAGTTATTAAAAATGAAATAGGGAATTCAACTCCTATGACGCTGATCGTGACATACTCGTATATAGTCAAGTAATGACCCTTAGTGACCATCGAAGAACAATTCATCTCCGATGACAGGCGACCGTTGCCCATTGAGAAGTAAAATTAAAATGGACCATTCATCTCCGATGTCTCTGATCTTCCCACACGTTATGAAGATCAGCACACCGAACGATCTTCGGAATGTTGTAGCAGTCACTTATAACGCATTACGAAGTTATACAAAAAAATTAACACGACCCCGTCAGGATCACGTTGTCAAGATACGACCCTGAGTGACCCATCGGATACTTTCAGCAGACGAGGGTGAGATAGGACGAAAGAGTGAGAAAGGGCGAAAAAGAGAGGGATGGAGGGGGTGGGTGGTGAGCGAGGAAGAGGGGAAGGGAAAGGGGAGAGGTGAAGTTGGTCGAAGTTAGGGGAGGTGCGAATGAAAGGTGACAGAGAAGAGAGATGCATGTGACTATCGATTGACATTTGGATTCCAGCTTCGAGTTTAATTTCTCTTCGCGATGGAGGAGGAACAATTTCTTTCGGCATTTTCATATAACAACAGTATGCGTCAATTTTCGGATAATAGAACGTCATCTTTCACCTCGGAATTATCTCACTCTATAGTGTTGTATAGACAATAGAAGGTTGCGCTAAGCGAGATTCAATTTCTCTCTATCTTTTTACATGTACGAGATGCTTTGATGTTAAACCCGATGAGGGGACGAATGTTCTGTTTACGGCAAAAGAAGTTGCATTTTCAAATGAAATTTGCAGCTTATTGAGGCGATTAAAAATTGCATGTAAAAATGCTGAATCGCATTTTTATTTTAAACAGCAAAAAGCGACTGAGCAAAGTTTTGATTAGTATTAATTGCGATGGTAAGTATAAAATGTTACATCATATAAACTTTTCTGATAATCTTCTACGAATGCTTGGTTTCTCATCAGCCATTTCCATTAGACATGAATTTTATTCTCAATATATGATACGTAAATTTTTTTGTTGTTGTAGAGGAGGAAATCTTCATAGACCCCCCGGCCGACTTAACCGGATGAGTGTGGGACTTGCGCATACTCAAAATTGAGTTATACATCCACGAGTCATCTATCCACTAAAACCTCCCTTTTTCCCACGACGATCGTTGAAAGAGATGTCCTGGCAACACCGTAAGGCATTCTTCAGGATATTCCCAAAAGGTCCTACCGGATTACGGTAACTTCATTTGATGTAGTGATCGTTCCCCATCCATATGATGTGCAGCACTTCATATGGACTGCAATAGCCAATGATGGAGTAGTCATCTAGTTAGTTATCGGAGTCCATCAGCCTTCGTGGCGGCGTTGGTTCGTGATCGAAATCGATCCTCTGCCTCCTTCTTTCATTCTCCTTTTGAGTCATTACCCCCTTCGCAAAGGTGGCAAAAAGATCCCAGCCTTGTTAATCTTTAATCATTATTTTAATTACCTCAAGATTAATCTCCCCATCCATTTCGTTTCTCAACAAGATCCTTTCTTTCCTCTACGCGGAACAGTTTGTCAAAGTATGATCAACATCGTCATATGCATTCTCGCAGTGAAAGCATTTACTGATATTAGCCTTCTTTATTCTGTTTAAATATTTACCGAAACAGCCGTGGTTAGATATAATCTGTGTCAGAAGATATCATCTGTGTGAACGTCAATTTGTTATGATTCCTATTATACCAGTTTTCTATCATAGGATATATGACTCTCCTGACATGCTCCCATATAAGCCAGGAAGATTCATCTTGCTTCTCCATTCTTCCATTTCTCTTTCATATACCTGTTCTTTAATTGCCTTCTTTTCTCTAATTCCTATTATATATAAATTTCTCTCTCACGCAAATTGCTCATTCTGTCTACGTCCACACATATTGTCGCACAACCATTTCAAATTTTGGCAATCTGGCAAGTAGGTGCACTGCTTCCCCTGTTACTGTTCTACAAACCGCTATAATGTGCAAAGTTATAGTTCTGAAGACCCTTCCCATCTTTCTGCAAATACCTCTATTTGTCAACACCCTTATCCCCACCCTTATCCCCAGACGGGCGCCTTATACATGATTATCGACAGTACGACATTGGCATATACCCTACGTCTCGCCTCGCTTGTGTCACTAAGATTCGGCAGCACCCTACTCGAATTTGACACATACATTTTAGTCCTTTGCCCTATTTGATTGAAATGTTCGACAAAGGACTATTTTGAGTCCACTGTTATTTCTTAATAAATATTTTATTTTTGTCATCTTAATACCACTATTCATTATCTTAATGTTTGTGCTACCTATCGCTAGGCCTCTATCACAAAACACGATTGCCTCAGTTTTATTAGAGGACACTTTAAGGCCAATCTCTTGAATATTCTCAACTACTTTACTAGCACAGCGTTCCGCTTTTTTAATCATTAGTTCAACAGAATCATCCTCGACTATAATCAACAAAGTTATCATTCGCGTAACACTTAATACTAATATGACGTCGCCAAATAATGAACATAATGATATAATGTGATAAAATCGCAATAATTTATTATAGTTTTTTAAGATTAGATTTAGGAAAGGAGGGATTATTAATATTTCAGATTGATTGCGTTGATAGTCCGACAACCATATCGGCATGCAATTATTATTTCTGAAATTAATTCAATTAAATGAATATATGTAATTGTTCGAGATCGGTACTTCGAAAGAAAAGCAAGAATTCTGTCAGTCGACCGACATTAATTGTCATTGAACGCATGCACAAATTGAGCTCGTGATTTCATCTCAAACATGATTTTAATCTTCGTTAAAATCATCAAATTCGTCGTTCTTTGTTCCTTTTAAAAACAATTCGTTACACGCAAACAAGTTGTCGTTACCGGCAACGGACAATCGAAGGTTCTAGAACGATTCAATTCGCGCACGCGAGCGCCGCGCTCCGACGAATACGTCACGCGCTGTCACCAATCCCACGCACGGATTTTCTGTCGCGCATGACTGTTACGTTGAACGTCGCTAGAAAAGAATCCAAAGCGCCAATCAATTTTGTACACCTAATGCCACGTAATAATTACGATTGTGGCAAATTTTTATTGGATTTTTTCCAAAAGGGAAAGCTCAGGCCGAAAGCAATAAATGCTTCGATCTCGCCGTCCTCCTACTTACTTCCAAAAAGTTCTTAGAGTTCTTAGAGTCATAGTCGCGCTTCGTAAAATCGCCGTGCTAACCGTTTAGTGAAATCGCTATAAACCGAATCTTTCGAGAAGCTTCGAGGAAAATCGCCGAGATTTTCCATCACCGCGATTCCAAGCTCAATTTGGAAAAGGTGACCGCATTTAATATTCTGTTAATCTGATCTTTAATTAATTATATCTTTTGACTTTGTAACTGAATACATTAAAGAAATTCTTTTGTTAAATTAAATGAAACGGAGTTCTCTTCACTGTCGTGCATCATATCAACCTTGTGCCGTTTTCTCACTCGAATCTGTCCGCGCGGTGCGCTCTCGCACATTTTCTGGTCCTTCGAGCCGGATTTAAACTAGCGAGAAAGACAGTAAGACAAACGCCGCATCACTTTAAAAATTTCACGATCAGCGCTCTCGCTCTGGTTCGCTCTCGCACAGTAATAATTCAACATCTTAACATTCAGACCGTAGTGGCGCTTCGTATTTAAAATAATGTATTCAACATAAATGATCTTATTTTCAATCTTATTATTGATAAAATTGAGATGCATTGCGACGTTGCCAAATAGTGCAACATTTATTAAGCTGCTATGTTAGCGTAATTCAAGAATTTTTTTAAAACGACAAAGATTAATATTATTTTATACAAATGCAACGTTATTAAATAATGTACATAATAATCATTATTTCAGTCCTTCTGACATCTTGACACATGTGTGGTGACTATGTTTGTTGTCTTTCCAATCTGGTGGCATTTTTAATAATGTCCCATTTGTCCCGACTGGTTGTGGTCCTTACTGCCTCTTCCATGCTTGTATTAAAAAGTTGCTTCACGGTGTCGGTCCACTAGGTCAATGAGCGGCCACTTCTCCATTTCCCTTTCAGTTTCCTTTACCTTAGACTATCAGATATTTGATATTGTTACTGCGGTTAATATGTCCGAAAAACTTCAGAAGTCAGCCGTACGGAGCTGGATAATCTCTGAGAGTTTACCTCAGCTAGAATTGATGCGTTTGTTCTCTTTGCCGTCCATGGAAGGCGGAGCAACTTTTGCTAACACCACATCTCAAATGCGTTCACATGTCATCTATCGACTGCCCGCAATGTCTATGTCTCGGATGTGTAGTTGAAAACTGAAAAAAATCAGTGCTCTAACTAAATTAATTTTAGTGCGGTGATGTTGTAGCTTTTCCATATCTTGATTTATTGGAACATAGTCGTTCTTCCTTAGATGCGTTTACGAATTTCCGTCCCGCAGTCACCTTGGTCCGCTATCGGCTCCAGATATACGAACTTATATATAAATTATTATGTTCCTGATCAACAATCATTATTTTGATTTTGGAATTATTTAGACGTACGCCATGCCTTATATTAGGTTGGTGTGTATGAAATGTCGAATTTTTAAGTGAATATATAAAACTGCATATCTTTTTTCAAAGGCTGTTTATTTAATCAAAATATGCTCCATTTGTTTCAATACACTTTTCCCAACGAGATTTTAATGCATAGATGCCTGTCTTAAAGAAATTCTGATCTTTAGAATCAATAAACTCTGATATGGAATTTTTCAGTCTTCATTTTCTGTCTTCATTTTCATACTGTTTAGCCCGTAAAAACTGTTCTAAATGTTTAAAAAAATGAAAGTCGGTTGGCGAAAGATCCGGTGAATAAGCTAGATGCTGCAAAATTTCATATTTTAATTCATTTAATT